TCTCTCTCTCTCTCTCTCTCTCTCTCTCTCTCTCTCTCTCTATATATATATAGTGATTATTCTAAATTATTTCCTAAATTTCATGTAAGACATTATGTTATTTGGACGGTTAGGTTTAAACATTGGCATTTAGAATAATATAAACATAATGAAAACTGTATTTACAGTTTACTGACTTAAAAATGTGAGAACTGACATGAACATTCCTGCAACACATTTTATAGGAAAATTAATGATATAATTTTACACATTCATAAAATATAAAACAAACTGGGAAACCTAACAATTTTAGGACTGTTCTATCTTAGAAATATAAATAAAAGGGATCTGTTGTAATTTAGTTGGACTTTCCTTCTAGAAATTCTTGTTAAAACTACATTTAGGTTTGTGGTAATTATACTAATATCTATGTTTATTTTTATATTTTTGGGTTAGACATTTAACCTAATGCTTTTTTAAATTAAATAAATTCAAATTTGAACTGAGAAAAATAACATTGCAGAAAACCAATTAAGCTGTTGGATTTGAAGTGATTTAAGACCTTTTGTCCCAGTTTGCTTGCCGTAGTGTTTTTAGCTTTTTATCAGAGGTTAGCTATGACATCGATTTATTCCGTCATGTGGTTTAATAATGGTGTTTGTTTTATTTTATAGTTTTATTTTATTGTCTTGCTTTAACGGTCGTAATTGTATTTCATTAACAACGAAAGTACAGCAAAGTAGTAGTTTACCGCTAGCTTCAGTGCCAGCTTTAGCATGTCTCTTTTATCTGGTTTACCTGTCAGTGTGCTCCTACTCGTCGTGCCTTTGTTAGTTTGTTTGTACAGCTGCTTTTTCTGTGAAGGCGGACTGGTTAGTTCGGTTTGTGACAAGTATAATAAAACTGTATTATACAAACGACCTGTAATACTACAAAACCTTTCAATGAGAGATGGAGACTCGGAAAACGAAAGAGCTGGTATTTCCAGACGACCTGAATGCACCACATTGGCCCCGGAGAGTCGGTTTGACTGTGGCAGGGACAGGACCCTGAGTCAGAGGGAGTGTGAAGGGAGGGGGTGCTGCTACGCTCCTCTGCAGGATTATACAGGACCCCCCTGGTGTTTCTACCCCTCCATGTACCCTGGCTATAAGATGGGCCCCCTCACTCCCACCAAACGGGGACAGACTGCCACTCTGACCCGTACCAGTCCTTCTTATCTCCCCAAAGACATCTCCATTCTGAACCTTGGGGTCACAGAGGAGACAGCAGACTGCTTACACGTCACTGTGAGTACTCCAAAGCGAGATTATTTCATTTGATTAGGATCAATCTGTGATATTGTCAGTGTTTTTTAATATGTTGCCTTCTTTGGGATGTGTTGGAGATTTTGTTTTGAGGGAGTAAAGTTTTCTCTCCAGATTAAAGACCCAACTTCTCAGCGGTATGAGGTTCCTCTTCCAGATGATGGCATTCATCAGACAAGAGCTGATACCCAGGATGTTCTCTTTACCACTGAATATCAGCCTGATCCGTTTGGGTTCATTGTGAGGCGTAAATCCAACGGAAGAGTCATGTAGGTAGCTCATCAGGGTAATGTTTGATGTATAATTTTACTTTTGTTTYTGCTCATTATTACAGTTCAAGTAATGCGCTGTGATAAATGTGTAAACTGACAGGTGTTTGTTTCCCCTGTATGCCCAGTATGAACACCACAGTTGCTCCTCTTCTGTTTGCGGACCAGTACCTGCAGCTGTCCACATCCCTGGCCTCCTCCTTTGTGTCCGGCCTCGGCCAGCATTACACCTCTCTCCTCCTGGACCTGAACTGGACCTCTCTGACTCTCTGGAACAGAGACATTGCACCGCATGTGGGTCTCTTGCACTGGTTTCACTGACCTAKATGGAGCAGAATAATGCTAACGCTGTTTTTTTTTTTTTTCTCTTCCACAGGCTGATGCAAACCTTTACGGCTCCCATCCATTTTATATAGTGCAGGAAGATGACGGCTCAGCACACGGAGTTTTCCTTCTGAACAGCAATGCAATCGGTACTGCTCTCTGACCCACACTGTCATATTCACTTTTCACAGAAATATGATTGCACACTGTTACATTTATTTTTGCTTTTGTTTGCTTTTTAATAAACATAAACTGGATAAAATCAGGAAACTTCTTCCAAATTCACAAGAACATGGCTTAATTAAACACAAACTAAACTGACTGTATTGGATTATTTCAGATATTTCTTTTTAACGTTTTAGCCAGAAACATTTTGTCTGTTTCTATAAAAGATGAATTAATTATTGTAAATAAACAGTGATTCGACTCATAACGCGCTTAATAAATCTGTAAGAAATTTAGTGTTCAATACGGCTGAGGTCAATATTAAAACACCAGTGTTAAATAAATTGAATTGAGGAAGGAATAAACCATACAACCCAGAATTCTGGCAGTGAGTGAGGTTTATTGGTCACCAGCTGACAAGTCAAAACCACACTGAATGAAAAACAGGAAGTTCCCGTTTTAATACAACACACGATTCTTCAATGCCTGAMTTCGCCCCCTGCTGGCTTACGGCTGAATCACAGGCATTCAGACAAAGACCTCACCCTAATGTTTTAAAACGGTTCACTTATGTGTTGTTTATAATTCGGACATGTATCTACTCTATTTCAATTAACACATAATAGATCAAATATTATACAAGTATTATAAAATAATGAAACCCTATACTCTGGTGTAGTTTTCTAATATCAGTACTAATCTATCAATAACTAAATTTCTTCAAATCTATTTGTAGAAGTAATGTTGCAGCCGACTCCGGCCCTGACCTGGATGTCCACCGGGGGAATCCTGGATCTCTACATTTTCCTGGGTCCAGACCCTCAAAGTGTGATAACACAATACCTCCAGGTCATCGGTACGTGTTTCACTGTTAATAACAGTCTAATAACGAGGATTGTGCACTTATACATGTCAAAGCATGTCACTGCAGGCTGGATGACAGTGATTGTATTTAGTTTTAATCTTGTTAATAATCTGCATCCAGGGCATCCCATGATGCCTCCTTATTGGTCACTGGGTTTTCATCTTTGCCGCTGGGGTTATACGACCACTAACGTAACCCGAATGGTTGCACAGCACATGCACAGTGCCAACTTTCCCATGGTAAATAAAAAAAACTGCACACTTGGATAATGTATTCAGTTAAAGTAATAACTAATAAAATTGCCAATAGTTGACATTTTTATAGGTTGATGAATATATAGTTTAGTTTTCCTGCGAACTCAGTGGCCTCGGTAATGAAAATAAAAGTGGTGTTAAACATTAAATCTTTTTATAATGTCTATTCCAGTTAATCATTACCACTGAGGCTTTTATTTTGTAGGGACTTAACAGAGGTTGTGAATATCTGCTATCACATACTACTGTAAATGTGACAAAGTTAGTAATTATGTGATTGTGTAAATTTCAGTCATCATCAGATGCTGGTGTAAATGTATGTATTTTTTTCCATCATCAGGATGTTCAGTGGAACGACCTTGATTATGCAGATAAGCGAAGAGTGTTCACCTTTGACCCCAGCAGGTTTGGAGACTTGCCACAGATGGTGCAGGAGTTTCATACAGGAGGCATGAAGTACATCCTGATTCTGGTGTGATATCTATAAAAGTGTTGGCATTGATTTAATTAGCATTGTTTTAAATTAGAAATAAAACAAAAGAAAATGACAATGGATTAGTTAATATTTTAAGATATTCTGCACAAAAAAAAATTAAAGCTGTAGTAGTCACTTTTGTCCAGAAGATGGCAGCAGAGGCATCTTAGTGTGTTTTCCCCGTAACTCCGGTTTAGGACCCCTGCATCAGCAGCACCAGCCCCTCTGGTACCTACCCTCCTTTTGACGATGGTCAGAAACGAGACGTCTTCATTAAAAACGCCACAGGAGACATTCTGATCGGGAAGGTTAGACACGTTGACTGAGGAGTCGTGAAGCTCTGATGGAAAATGATTGAAGTTGGTGTTTTGTTTCACCTAACTTGTGTTTTCTTTGCACAGGTTTGGCCCGGTCCAACAGCGTTTCCTGACTTCACTAACCCAGAAACCAGGCAGTGGTGGGAGGACTGCATCAGAGACTTTTATTCTGAAGTTCCCGTGGATGGCCTGTGGATTGTGAGTGTTCACACACTAACAGAAAATAGATCATTTAGCCAGACTGCAATTTAAAATCCATGCTWTTTTCCCRTGTTTGGGCCTGTTTCTCCTTCAAATCTCTAAAATAAAATGTTTTTTTTTCTCCAACTTTCTTGCTCTCYTCAGGATATGAACGAACCATCGAGTTTTATTCAGGGCTCCARGGAGGGCTGTCCTGACAGTGAGCTTGAGAGACCACCATACACACCCAGTAAGTGTATTTCGTTTTTATCACTTTGAACATATACAACCTCTGTGTAAAGGTAATTTAAGGTGAATTAAGTTGCAGCTTCTCTGAATTTCAGGAGTGGTTGGAGGTCAGCTGAACTCAGGAACGATTTGTATGTCGGCCCTGCAGAAGCTGTCCACTCATTATAATCTGCACAATCTGTACGGACTGACTGAAGCCTCCGCTACACACAGGTTAGATCAGTGCTGTGATGTGCAGGGTTAGTTTGTAGGAGAAGTTAATTTAGTTTTTACACCAGGTAAATTAAAGCTATTTTAGGAATTTCTCGTTTAAGCAAGAAATCAGTGACGATTGAATGGAAACAATAAAGTCAGTGTTTGATTAAAGTGTGAATCAAACATTTTTCATTTTATAGATGTTTCTAAATGTAGCTGAGTGATGTTTAACACAGCCATGAAAGAATGACGAGATAAACTAGAGGAAAATTTGTCGAAAAAAAAATAGCATCAAGAACCTTCTGTTGTTCTCTTTACTCTGTTTATTATGTTGTCACCCTCAGTGCTCTCAGGAGGATCCGTGGGACGAGACCTTTTGTTTTGTCTCGCTCCTCCTTTCCCGGCATCGGCCGTTTCTCTGCAGTGTGGACCGGAGACGTGCGGAGTGACTGGGAGCAGCTTCGATTCTCCATCCCTGGTGAGTTCWTGGAAAGAGTTTGTTGTATTTTACTTAAAAAAACGACCAAAAGGCTGTAAAACCGATAAAAGAGGAAGTTAAAACTCATAAAATAGTTTCTTTAATTTTTTGATGAACCAGATTTTCCCTAAGATTAAAGTTTCCTTCTCATTTTTGACGTTACGTYCATACAGTCTTTTGACAGTGATTTCCAGTGGTTTTGTGTCTTTCTCCCCTCAAAGCGGTGCTTCAGTTCAGTTTGTTTGGCGTTCCTCTGGCGGGAGCAGACATCTGTGGCTTCGGAGGCGACACAACCGAGGAGCTGTGTGTTCGATGGATGCAGCTCGGAGCTTTTTACCCCTTCTCGAGAAACCACAATGACAAGCCCAACGCTGTGAGACACGGCTGTTTAGCAGATGACTGAAARGCAGACGTTGGTTCAGAATGTTGTTTTGTAACATCTGTGGTGTTGTTTTGCACTGAAGTGGGACTCCTGGAGCAGAYCAGTCCATCTGGTTCATGATTTAGGTAAAAAAAAAAAAGTAACTGTCTCTTCCTGTCGTCCATGTGTTTTCTTTCGTTCCGTCCGTCAGCCTCAGGAGCCGTATGTGTTCGGGCAGAAGGCCCAGGCGGCCATGCGGAGTGCGTTAAACCTGCGCTACTCTCTTCTCCCTTTCCTCTACACACTSTTCCATCATGCACACACTTCTGCTGACACCGTCGCCAGGCCTCTGTTTGTAGAGTACGTATTTCCCTCTCATTCATTACTCTTGAACTTGAACAAATCATTTTAACCTTTATTTTTCTGTGCATTTATATATACAGTATATATATATATATAATCGTAGATTTCCCAGTGACCCTAGCTGTCGGTCCATAGACCAACAGTTCCTGTGGGGGAGTTCCCTTCTCATCAGTCCTGTTTTAGAGGAAGGGGCAGTGGAGGTGYAAGCGTACCTGCCAGCCGGTGTTTGGTACAGCCTGAATGATGTGAGTCCCCGTGCACTTCCTGTACCGTCTCATTTAACGATGACCACCATGTTTGAGGACACGTGGCATTAATATTCACTTGCTGTGTGAAGGGTCGACCTTTCTACAGTCAAGGTCAGTCCTTCCTCCTGCCTGCACCTCTGGAAATCATCAATGTCCATGTGAGGGAGGGACACATTATCCCCCAGCAGGTGGGTGTCTGCYTTTTTAAAACTCAAAATAATGAAGCTTGMTTTATTTTCACTCARTTTGACTGGAAACGGTTAAAACTGAMTTTAGAAGACATTTGCTGATGGGAGAACTGCGCTGAGTAATGTTTTGTTTGGATGGATTTGCTGCAGCTCACACAGTGTTTGATAAGACCGTTGGCAGGAGATTGAGCTTTAATCACAGTTTTGACAAAGTGTTTTAAGATCGTGCTGAGCTGCACATTTCTGGGCATCCTCCTTAGAGCTGAAAAACAGTTGAAAGAGTTGAAAAAAAATCGTATTATGTCTCATCTTCGTTTTCCCTGCAAAGGAGACGGCTTTGACAACCGCAGCCTCACGCAGAAAGCCTTTCTTCCTGACGGTGGCGCTGACAGCAGGCGGCCGGGCCTGGGGAGACCTGTTCTGGGACGACGGAGACAGCCTGAACACTTTTGAAACTCAGAGCTATTGTTACGTTGTGTTCACTGCTGAGCAGGTGGGTAAGAGGTGAGGGATGCCTTCGTTTAAAACGAAGCTGTTTCTGAATGTTTCTGCTTTTGTTTCAGTCGCAGGTTGTTAGTGATCCTCTAAAGCTGAGTGCAGACTTGGACAGTCTGGTGCTCAGGGGGCTTCAGGTGTTTGGGGTGCCTCTACCACCGCTGWATGTTTTGGCAAATGAGAAGAAAGTCAGTGATTTTTCATACCAAGCTGACACTAAGGTGAGTTTTACAATAATCATCACTACTATTCATTCTTATCATTTGGGAGGATTTTCATCCTCGTGTCTCGTCCCCAGGTTCTGACAGTGAGGGGCCTGGCTTTACCCATGTCAGAGGTGTTTACAGTCCAGTGGGCTTTCTGATGCACTAAAACTGATCATTTATCAGCCTTCCAATGTGTTTTGCCTTCTGCACTGCTGCTGAAAACATCAACTGTTTTTCTACAACACATCAAGATTTGTCTCTCAGTTAAAGAGTTTATTATCCACCTTACTCGTGTTCTTTCAAAGTGACATGCTCTGACACCAGCTAGTTTATAAAATGTGATGATAAAAAACACGAGTCTTTAATGTATCACTAAAAAGAACAATTTGATGATGACTATATGTAATTTTGTAATCTTTTTGCTGTTTTATTTTAGTAAAATTTACAGAAAATGTATATATATATTTTTTTAAATAAAATTCAATAAAAAAAGAAAAAAAGGCAACTGTGTCTTGTGGTTTCTCTTCATAAGAAAGCCCCAATTTATATTAATTTATGCTAGTTCTTGAAACAAGTTGACTTAAAATTACTTAAAAATATATTTAAACAAACAAACAAAAAAGATCAATTTAAGGAAAACTGGACATTTTTTATTATTTTAATTCTTGCAGATTTTTCTCTACTTTCATTATAGTTGGAAAAAAGTTACGTAGATGAATCATTAAAAAAAGTTAAGTTCTTTTGGATTCAGTTTGTTAGGATGCTCTAAATGGCTGAGAATGTAAAATAAAACAATGTATTGAAAGTGGAAGATTTGCTAAATTATTGTTTTTAAATCATTGATAAAATAATATTTTGATCAAGTTTACACCATTTCCTTGTAGTGTATAATGTGAATAAAATAATGTAAGTAAACCTTGTAAACATTTGACTTTCACATGTTCTTAAATGGATCAGTGCTCATATTTGAATAGATAAATGAGTGGTCAGGACTGGAGGCAGTTTTAGTCAGGCAGATGTTAGTGATGCTCTGACTCCAGCTCTGGTCCTGATGATGAACCAACCACCTCCCAGTCTTTGCCAGTGACCTTTGAAACGTCACTTATGATGAAAAGGGTCAACTTTTATGATTAAATTGTTAAAAACATAGCATTTGTTACGCAGCCTCGTGCCCAATGTTTTACCGGTGTTTTAAAGATAAAACATAAATTTGTGTGACGATAAAAACGCCTTTGTACACGCCGGAAGCAGCTATTTTGAGGGCTTGGCTTGGTCTTGAGATGTGGAGTCAAGCTAAAAATATTCTAGGAACTAAAACTTGTAAGGTTTATAAATTAAAACATCCCTTATATTTTAATGCATGTGGTAAACATACTGAAGCAGTAGATGTAACTTTATTTTGAAAGTCGAGAGCGGAAGTGCTTATTTCCGCCGTACTAGCAGTAGCTTTTCAGGTGTCGGGTTACAATCTGAGAGCGATGCGATAAAAACAAGAGCGGAGRTGGTAGTAACCCGTGGGAAATCCGTGAGAAAAGAGCAGAGACGGTCCCGGTTCGTGGTGTTCGGTCCACGGCTGCTAGCTGACATGGCTGTCCGGTTCGGGCTGTAGGTTCTTGCGGCGGGACTGAAGGTGAGAGGCTCTACCCCCCACTTCTTCTGCTTGGCCCCGTTTCTTTAATTCATTCCTGCTGCTGAGACAGGTGCATCATGTCAGCTGTCAGCGAGGACACGTTTATTAGCATGTGGCTGCTGGATGAAGAAACTAATTAGAAATTGATGTTTAATAAAACAGATTTCAGACATGGCGGCTGAGCTAAAATGTAAATGTTAACGGAGGGTTCAGGAGCAAATAGCCTCTGGACAGACTTGTAAGCCAGAGTAAATCATGAAACAGGCCTGTGTCATTAGCATTGTCCATCTGTTGTCCTCAGGCGGAGGCTGCCTGTCAAACTGAAGACAGAGGACTGCTGAGACACATGTCCCCCAGGCTCAGAGACCACCTTCAGTCTTAACCCCTTTCATCACTTCTGCCAGTAGGTAGCACAAGTCAAAAATATAATTACCTGATGTAAAATAGGAGAAGATGAAAGTTAAAAAAAAAAAATGTTAAAGCTGCTGCCAGAGGCTCATCGTTGTTACCATGGTAACCACACATCTGTGTCTGTCACTCCCTGACAGCAGAGACGGACTGAAAATTGCCCTTCAAATGGTCGTTATTGGAAATATGACTTTAAAAAGACACTTGGTTTCGAAGAGAATATTTACGTTTGGGTGTCCGCTCTGTATTTTTGGGGGATCTTAGGGAKACACTGGGTGAACGAAAACAGAAATATCTATGTTTTGATAACTATTTTTTTAATGTCCTGATGCATCTCAGTAATCCAGGTAAAAAAGAAAAAAATTGTATAGGTCTTCTGGACGGGTTCTTCTTTAATGAAACGTTTCGTCTCTCCTCCAAGAGACTTCTTCAGTCTGAGAGTTTCAGGCCTGAAGAACACACCTGCCATTCAGCCTGAAACTCTCAGACTGAAGAAGTCTCTTGGAGGAGAGACGAAATGTTTCATTAAAGAAGAACCCGTCCAGAAGACTTACACAATTTTTTTCTTTTTGATTTCTTTGTAGATTATTTCTTTGTTGTAACAATGCTTCTTGATAATAAATCTTATACTGGGCACCTGATTGGCAGCACCTGGGGGGGACCAGAATCTCAAAACGAGTCAATAACAACAGCGAAATAAGCTGGTTGGTATGGCAGAGAAGATTTGGCAAGTTTTTATTTTATTTTATTTTATTTTTTTTTAAACCCAGTCGACGTGCAGAATTCT